CGCCCGGCCCCCCGCCGCCGCTGGAGGTCATCGACCTGACCACCGGCGGCGGCGGGGCGCGGCCGCCGTCGGAGCCTGGCCGCGTCGGCTCCATCACCATCACGCCGGTGGAGAAGGCGGCCACCGCCGGCGGCGGGGACGGAGACGGCGGCGCCGGCTTCCGCCCGGCTCAATGCAGCAGCTGTTGGCGCTGCACATGGCGTCGGCCGCCATGCCGCCGCACGTGCTGCAGTACATGGGTCTGCTGCCTGGCGGCAAGGAGCAGCTGCAGCGGCTGCAGCAGCAGGTGGCGCTGCAGAGCCTGGCGCAGCGGATGGTGATGCTGCCGGGTGGGCCGCCGGGTCTGTCGCCGGAACAGGCGCAGGCCAGTCTCGAGGCTTACCAGCGGCTGATGCAGGGCGGTCTGCGCCGCTCCTGAGGCTGGCGGACGGCGCCGCACCCTGGACCGCCAGCGGCGCCGGAGCGATCTCTCGTGGCGTGCTGGGGCCGCGGACAGGCCGGTGGCCGCGTGTTGCGCGCATTGATGCCAGATGTGACTGTGCCTGGCACGGGGCCGCAGGCTGCTGCCTGATCGGTCCGTGGCTAGCTGGGCTCGTGCTCCACGTGTGGGCGCCAGCGGCACGTTGGGGGCAGGCCACGTGACAAGTCAGCGGTCTGGAGTTGTCCGTGGGCTAGTACAAAGGCGGCGGCGGCGTGAGGCAGGCCGCCGCCCTGCTCGACCTGCTCGACAGTACCGCCGACCCTGCGTCCGGCGGTGTCGGCACCTCCATCGTCACTATGCGTGGGTGCGTGTGCTCGGTCAGAGCTTTGCTTGGTTCATTGTCGCTGAACTGGTTGTGCTGGCAAGGTAGGTCGGCTGCAGGCGTTTTCTATGCTCTTCCGGAGGATTATCGTGGCATTTGGAGGTGATTGTTGTTGCGTTTTGTCTGGTGTCAGGTGCTTCAGTTTTGTACTTGGCTGGATCGAGTTGGAAGGTAGCTGCTTATGGCTCGTACGGAGGGTCGCTATGTCACAAACAATAATTTGGAAATAACTATGGCGTTCATCACGAATATGCACCATCAATTTGTTTTACCGTGTTTCGTGTGTGTCATCCAACAGCTTTGTGAATCCTGTGGTCTTAGACATCTCTTTTCTGTCCATTGAAATAGGTAATCGTCTTTCATCGCGCGTTGCATAACCAGGCGGGTGCTGTATAATATAAAGGACCGGAAGTCGACCTGCGGTGTCCAGAAAGGATCTTTCTCTGCTGTCCGGACACCTTCATCACTGACCGTAAGCCTCAGAAGGCGCTGAGTCCCCGGGCACCGCGGGTCTGTCAGCTCGCGCTGCTTGGATGGTCATTGCTTGCATCGAGCGGTCGGCCCCACCAGTGGATTTTGACGTCAGATATCCACCAGCGGTATCAACATCTGCACAACAAGCCGTGCTTAACGAGGCGCAAATCCCATCGCCATTGAAGACATTGATTCCTGCGCTGCGGCCAAATACAGAACAGCTTACGTCACGTCCATGAGTACGAGAGGGGCGAGTCTGGACAGCGCTGGTCTTGCGGGTCGTTCCCGCGATACAACTGCAGGTCTCATCACGCTCATGAGCACGAGAGGGGCGAGTGTCGACAAGGCTGGTCTTGCGTGTCCTTCCCGCGACGCAAAAGCTGCAGGTCTCATCACGTTCATGAGCACGAGAGGGGCAGGTCTAGACAAGGGTGGTCTTGCGGGTCGGCTACAATTTTAGTTTATCACTTAAAAATAGTGACTCCTCAGTCAGGCATGGATGTTTCATATGCCTGCACAATTTGGCCCAGCTCGCACGTTTCGGGTACGTGGTTATTTAGTGGCGACAGATGTAGATTGCTCTGTGTTTCGGTTTACGACGAATGGGCACTGGCGCATACATTATTGGAATGGTTCAACTGCACCATGTTTATATCTGGGAAAGAGTAGAGTGTTGGCAACCTCTCCATGTACGTGGCCAAACGTTATAAAAGGACGAAAATACGCGCCGGTGGAACGCGATTTGTGTAATTCTGGGAACGGCTTTATGGGAATGCTCTCGCGAGATGTCGCACCACGGCGTTCGATACCAAGATAGGTGGCAGCACCTTAAGCGTTGGTTCACGAAGGGTTCGCTCGCTCCGGAGCAACGCCAGAAATACATCAGGATGTGTGGTAAGCAGGGTCGGATCCGGAGGGGGGGAGGGAAAGGCAAGAGCCCATGACCACACTCCCTTGCGCCCCGAAGGGACCCATATTCGGCCAAACAGACGCCGTTTTTGTACACAAAACGCGACAACGTTGGACGTCTTTGGGCTTCAAGACGACCAAGAACCATCGCAAGCTAAAGTGAAGCATCCACAAGGAGGCAAAATCGTTTTCACGGATTGAAAAAGTGGTTATTGAAATATTTAAAGGCTTATTACGCTGTCAAGAGACCCTATAGTTTCCGACGGGCACTATACGTCCACTTGCGGTCAGTCAGATCGTTAAGGAGCCTCCTACGTTGCCACTGAATTCTTTGTATTTTCTTGGTGGGCTCTGCGCTGCTGCTTCGAACCCTTCTGATAGAATGCTGTGACACTGTTCTCAATCAGGGGTCTTCCGCTGATTCCTACCATTCGCCCGAAAGGTTAAGACGCTACAGCTGGGGCCAGCTATGTGAACCCGCCGCGACATTCTCGGATGTTCAGGAGCCCTTCACGTGGTCCCGGTTAAACTGCCGACGTACTCACAACATGCCCATAGATTCTTTATTGTAGATTGATCTGGGCCCTTCCACTTCCTTGGCACTTGTTTACGACCCCACGCGCTTGTCGGAGGTCCATCTGTTAACCTGCTCGAGCACACTTGGTCGTTCAGGGCCCTCAAAATTAACCTGCTCGGGCTCGCTGAATTCTTCGGGAGCCCTGCACATTGGGTTTTGGTATTTGAATACAGAACCCTATGCTCCTGTCGGGGGCCATCCGATAGCCTTCTTAGGTACACTCGATCTTTCGGGGCCCTTCACACTGGGCTTTGGGTACTTCTTATTAGAACGCAGAGCTTACGCTCTTGTCGGGGGCCCTTTATGATCTTTCCAGGACACGTTTCAGAAGCGTCAGTGTATGATACAAGAACATGTTGTCAGCAGACATCCACTCGAGATCTCGTAAAACATCGCTCATATGATCATTTTCCGACGCCCAGAGATGACTCGTGCTGCGAAGTCCGGCAGCTTCTGCAGTCGTGATGTTTGAGTAGCATTACATGTTCCGTACACACAGATGCAGTAACGGATGAGTGAGATGACTAGACCCTGGACTAGAGTAAATAGTGTGGCCTGAGGCAGACTGTACCGGCTGTGGCTGAGGCCGATAAGAGCGCCAGTGCATCGCCGCACGTCATCAGTGTGCGCAGTGAACGTCATGCACTGGTCAAATACAGCATCCAGGTTTCGAACGGAAGGAGAGCTGGCTACAGTGGCGCCCATAAATTTGGTGCTAGTCGATGGCAGGTTCCGAAGATTTTGACGCGTGCCGAGGAGTATAAGCTGTATTTTTTGTGCGTTAATTTTCATTCCGTTTTTGCCAAACCATTTGGACAGGTGCGCAAGATGTTGCTCCATGGATGTGATCAGCGTACCAATGTCACCGGGCCTCCCACTCACTAAAACCTGCGCGTCGTCCGCGTACTGCACAATACATGCGTCATGAGCATGTAGCGGCATATCATTAGCATAGATGCTGCACAGCAGCGGGCCGAGCGCTGAGCCCTGGTAGGCTCCGATCGGGTTGTGCAATGCTGCGGACAGAGAGGAAGCGCCACCTGGGTTCTGGACGGGAACCTGCTGAAAGTGGTTTTGGAGGTAACTCGCAAACCAACGTACATCAACATTGTACTGCTGGGGCTTTCTAAGGAGTCCATCATGTGGGATAACATCAAAGCACATGGATTGGTCCAGTAGGCATAACAAGGTGATTTCCTTTTGAACCATGGCCCCAAAAACCTTGTCGGTTACCGTGAGAAGCCCCGTGTCAGTGGAGTGGTGTGATCTAAAACCACGTTGACTAGACGAGAACAGGTGATGAGAGATCAAATATGCAAACAGCTGCTCGTAAACTACAAGTTCGTTAACCTTAGCGATAGTCGGTAACATTGAGATAGGCCTGTAGTTAGACACACAGTGGATTTTGGCGTCTTTTGGGTAGGATAAACTATTGTTAGCTTCCACGAGTCGGGAACTACATGGGCTGTCATGCTGGAATTGACAATATGGGCGATCGCGGGACAAATAGCGTCTATACACAGTTTGAAAAACCGGATACACAATCCGTCTGCACCGCACGATGAACTGTTACGCATGCGGGCTATGACGCGTCGCAGTTGATCCGGTGTAACGAGCGATACCTGGAACCCGCCGGTGGTCACGCGCGGCAGGCGTGCCGCCAGCTCCGGTCCCTAGGAGTCCACCTGGCGGGCGGTCGCGGTACCAATGCTGGCGAAGTACCGGTTAATGTCGTCCGCGTCGCATCAGGCGTGGACTTGGTTGGCTGCTTAGATGGGACGACAGGCTGCCCACTGCATCACATCGAGCTCGGCCCACCCTCCCGTACACCCCTGTCAATCTCCTCCCGTGTGTCACGACGCACTGTCGATGACCTGCCGGTTTAGGTCCTTATACGTCTCGCGGTCATAATCACGGAGTGCGGCACGCCGCCGGGCCATCAGGTCTTTAGTAGCTTCCGTGACAGGCGGTGCTGTAGGATTAAGCACTTTTAAACGCCTCATCAGTGCTAAAGCATTAACGATAGGACGAGTCACTGCAAGGAAACAGTCCCACTGCTCTCCGGGATCGACACTGCCGTACACTGGGCCCCAGTCACATTTTGGAGACGTCGATTCGCCTCCGTTAAGTCCAGTTTACGCCAGCATCTGGCCGTCAGTGCGTACTCCGCAGGTCGGTAGTCCGGTAGCGGCACTAGAGCACGTGACCAGTCATGGGGACTACAGTCACAGTGCAGCGTGCCGGCGCGCCCAACACCACCGTTTGTACAAATACAATCGATGGTGGAGCCAGATGACCGGAACGTGGGCCCGCTGATATGCTGCAGCAGAGTATGCTGTGAGGAACTCTCTGAACCTGCTGGCCGCGGTGTCCTCGTTGTTGCTGCAGGTGTTGATGTTGACATCACCGGATATGATGACGGGTCCAATGTGACGGGCGAGGATGTTCTGGAGTTGCTGCTCCAGCTCACCGAGGTCCGCAGTGACTCGGACCTGCGTCTGTGTCGGGAGCCGGTACAGTGAGCACACCATCACTTTTCGAGGGTCAGCGCGGATCTGGACCCACAGCGAACCCAGTTTGGGGCCTGCTGTGACCTGATCAGGTCCGTCCAACACAGTCGCCTCCAGTGACTCTCTCACTAGTACGGCCACGCCATCAAATCCTTTGTTATCAGGTCTGTCTCTCCGGAAATGCTGGTAGCCGGGTACAGGCATTAGTCTGTTATGCATAGACGGCTTGAGCCATGTTTCACTAAGTATGATCACGTCATAGCCGTGCTGCACGATGTCGTGTCGCAGTTCCAGCAGCTTGGGTTTCACCGATTGTACATTGAGTTGGGCAATGTACAGCTGGCCAGGTCGAGTAATGGCAGGATCTCTATTCTTCGTGTTGCGGTAACTATTATCAGTCCAGAGGACATCTCCATGAATTCAAAAAAGATTTGCTCGGTCTAATCTTTGAACTGTACGAATGAGTTTTGAAAGATATTGAAGACATTTTTTATGATGGCCTTTCTTGTGGTTCGTCGTTCGAGCGCGTTCGTTCGTCGTTCCATCTCACGAGCTCGGCCGCATGACCATGTGACAGTACACTTGTGTATGTTATGCAACCGGTTGGCTCAAATATCAATTTGTGCTATCCTCATCCGTTTAAAGACTGACTTTTCAAAAAGGGTAGCGTGACCTTGCTAGCATGAGAGCTAACATGCCCCCAACTCGCGGATAAAGACGGAGCGGAAAGGTGGCCAGCGTCACTGCGGAAGGGTGGCCAGCGTCACTGCGGAAGGGTGGCCAGCGTCACTGCGGAAGGGTGGCCAGCGTCACTGCGGAAGGGTGGCCAGCGTCACTGCGGAAGGGTGGCCAGCGTCACTGCGGAAGGGTGAGCAGCGTCACTGCGGAAGGATAGCCAGCGTCACTGCCCTATGTTCATCAAAGTGGCAAGTGATTCTCAAATGACGCCCTATTTGAGCGTCTTATTCAGGTTTTAATTACAATTACCCCATCAGAACGTGCTTGTTTACAGACTTGGGAAGTCAGCCAGACGAGTCACCTATTGAAGCGTAAAAATGCTGTGTCGAAAGGGACGGAAAGCTATTGGTTGTCACAGTTTGTTCAGAGTTTGGTTCAGATGAAATCGCACATCAAAAACCAGTATGTAAAGGCCAGTTTCTTCTCCACTTTTCCTAGCGTGAGCTGGCTGCTTAAGCGACGCACCATTCAACCTTCGCGCGGTTCAAAAGGCAAAAGAGGACAAACATGCGGATAGACGTGCCCTCCTCAAAAAGTTATTGATGTGTGCTGGAATCACGAAGCCAAATCTCTGAGTAGGTGGACGCTGCGGAGTAAATTTGTGGAGCCATTCTAACAGTGCGGATGGCAATCTCAAAGGCAGCTAAAACAGGCAGTTGTGAAATGTATGCATGCGGTGTAACGTAAGACGTGCAGCCGAAAGGGTAGAGTCGTTGGTGGTTCGGCCGGAAAAAACTCGACTGTCGAATCGTTCGTAGCTGGAGGGCTACGACCGCGAGCGGTCTGCGCTACCTCAACCGTCGACCACTGCAACCGCGTAGTTCAAACCGATGACACGTATAAACGAACGGTCAGCTCGATGAAAGAGAAATATATGAGTCCTGCAACCACTAAGAAGGCGGTAACGTTTTGAGCATACGCATGAGGTCAGTTCAGAAACTTTCTGACAAAATTTGAGTGTTTATATCATTTTTGAGATGTTCCTTCCTTGCGCCCTCACAACCATACCTAACCTTACCACGCGCCCGGTGGCACGGTAAATGCCCTTCGTTCATGTTGGGCGTCAATTTGACCCCCTGATAGCTCTGAAACTAAGGCAGCCTTTGACACCAAATTGACAGGGTGCGTTGGTCGGTACTTAAACTCACTTGTATCACAATTTGAGGTTCTTAGGTTATGCTCATCGGGTCAAATAAGGTCCAACAGGGTCGAACCTCCAATTAGTGTCCATTGGTGCCATAGACCTTCTCAGGCAGCCACCATGAACCTAGATTCATGTTCTAAGGAAAAGGTCAGTGGTGACCATTTAAGGTTAGCGACCTTGTTTGATCTTTCGGATTTCAAAATGAACAAAATCATACAAGACTGATTTGATTTTTGCATCTGAATAACGTCAGATATGACATTAGACAGTGCGTTTCTAAAACAAATGTTGACCTGGGTGGTTTTAGGCCAATGACCTACTCTGATCTTACAGAAGTCCATGGGAAAATGCATAACGCAGTTCCTGTCACCAATAAATTCAAGATTAGCACCAGAAACTACCCCCACACAGCAAGCTCTATAGCAGAAAATAGGTTGGCTTTGACCGTAGGCTTGCCTTCATACTTGACCCCAGGTCAATGAAATTTATCGATTCAATTATCGCATTGCCTAAGAAACTATCTCAGAGATGTGTAGCCTCGTCTAACACTCCGTTGCATCAGCGGAAACATTCCCTAGAAATTGGTCTGTCTTTAAACCCATGGCCTGACGTTAACCTGACGTAGCTTGACGGCCTTACAAGGTACATAAATTTTTTAATACCAAACGATCTACTATTCAAATGGCTAGTGACGCAAAATTAAGCGCGGCTACATCGCGCCGTTCGGAAATTATTCCGGAGAAATCTTCGTGGGCGTCAAATTGACCCCAAACCCGAACGCGTGCCAATTTGTTCGCGATTTTGGGCCTGTGCGGAGTCTTGGCCCCAAAATCATTGTATTAACATTACACACGTGCAGGCTCTCAAATGAAGGTGAAAAAACAACAGCCGGGCCTCTGCAAGTCATTCTAGCTAGAAATAAGTGTGCTAACACGCTTATATTGCGAGCAGGGGTAGCAATAATTATCCAATAAAAGTTTTGAGGATTTGAGGAGTCCGGGCAATGGCCACAGGAGCAACGTAAGATTTTCAGAGAATTTAAAAATAATCCCCAGTTGTAATTTTGTCACCCCCCCCCCCCTCCTTCTTTCTTTTCATGCCACTGGTCTTTAGAAGCCCAGAAATATGAAAATGGGACTCAAATAGATTAGAATTCATAGATCGCTTGTAATGTAGACGACCCTGGTATTGGGGGACATCATGAAATTAGTTTGATGTACCAAAATTGGCTATTGCATACTTCAAGGTAAAAGCTTAAGTGTTAACTAAGTGTTAAGTGTTAGTGTAAGTGTTAGTGTTAAAGTGTTAAGTGTTTAAGTGTTAACTACTTTGTGGGAGCTCTTCGATATATTATGGTTAGCCGATACAGGCCTAAGATTTAGTGTGCGTAGCGGCTTGCCATCTTTCAAAGTATTAAAAATGGAAGGAAGGTGACAGTTCTAGTTGACAAGCAGCGCGTGCCGGCTGCACAGAACTTAGCAGGATTTAGGGACAGCGTAATTGATCCATGCACCATGCAGGACTGGCAGCTGCACCTAGTCATTTTCAAACAGCATGAGATGTTGCCCGCGTGAAGGACAACAACATGAGTTGGTAACATTTAAGTTTCAAAGGATTCTGTGACATGACGTAATGAGATTGCATGAGAGCTTTAAAAATGCCAAATGTATGTTGACTGAATGCCACTTAACTCTGTGATGATCAACTGAATAGGCAATATAGGATCACTGGATACCAAACCTAACACTATACCTGGAAAGCAAGTGAGACCCCTAGAGGGCAAGTCCCCCTAGGACCGAACAGGGCTAGCTCATTACCAAAGTACTGAACCGAAAGGCCCAGTGTTCACCTCATCTGCCTGAAGCAAACGAACAGAAGCAAGTGCAACATTTGACAAGTTAAAGTAGGGTTTGATAAAGTAAGGTGCTGATTAGCCCTCCCCATGTGAAATAACTTGGCTATGCGACTGATAATGATCAAATGCTAGGATGTGTTACTGGTGTGTACCGGATGGCATGCTCCATGACCTATTTTTGTAGTTTGCATCAGTACTAGAAACATAAGGACTGGATTTGGGTTGCTGGATCATACCTGACACCAGGAACTATCGAAGACATTCTTAGCAATGATTGGCATTTGGCCGGAGTGCAGTTTCTCTTTCACTTTCCTCTTCTTTCGGGGGGGGGGGGGGGGACACCCTAACCTCTCATTTGGCACCCCTGCCATTGACCACCGGTGCAGCACTTACAAGAATCTATTTACATTGCCATCTTCGTAGTGAGAAGAAGGAAACACTATGATTGACTGTAATGTCAGTGGTTGTATCTAGGCATCAAATCATGGCAGGTGACAGTCTACAGACAGCCAGTACATGAGTTGATGCTGAAAGCTCATAGTGTTCCACTTTTTTTGGTCTAGGATGGAGCCCGTGGTCGATTTAGTGTGTGTGTGTTCTGAGCGGGAGGTTTTTGACCACGTTCAATGCGCTTTGTTCACTATCAAGTAGCACTTAAACCAGAATATATTTGCAGCAATGGATTATACGCGGAATCTTAAAACCCTACTTGTGACCAAAGCTACCAACCGATTTTCCATCTTCTTATCAACTTGTTTCCGAACCAGAGCTCTGTCTACATCAAGAAGGGTATTCTCGGCTCAGACAAGTATTGAGTTCCGAAAAGCTGAAAACCCGCTTCCCTTAGCGTCAACGGTGATTTGGGTTTTTGGCCCAAGCTCGGCCAGATATTGACCGATTCCAAAATTAAAAAAGGAAGATGCGTCTCGACTCCGAACACCATGCCATTTTTACAGTCATGGATCATTGAATAATATTTTTAGTGCTAACATAAATTAACGTCCCGATTGCTGTTAGAACAAGAGTTCATGACGAGTGAACGGAGATACCAAGGTCGTATTGCCTTGCCGACTTCAATCCCCAAATATCTTTCCCGTAGCCCTTACTCAGAAAAAAACAATATCTTCGGATTTAACTAAGGAGTTGTGCATCGTGTAAAACGCCGGAGGTCTTAACTTAGCTGGAAAGTGTACTGTTTAAAAAAACATTTTTCCAAAAACTGTTTTCAAACGCTCTCACCCCATCAACATATCGAGACAGAGATAAGTGGTTGATTGCATTGTGAAGAAAATCATCGGAAATACGTGCCATGAAATTTCCATGACCCCGGTTTAAAGTTTGTACTCTACTTTGGAACATATGTACTCTCCGCTTCCGGGATTCCTTTTTGGAACTTCCATCACTGGGATGGGGTTAGCAATATTTGTAAGCATTCAACAATCTGTTCTGGCATACGCCTGTAAATCGGTTAGTTGAAGCAGCATACTCATTCGAGGGCCGGTATTTATGTTATGGATTTGGCTGACTGACTAGGTAACCAGAAAATATAGCGTTGTCACTTAGCATGCCAGTCATCATACAACAGGGTTTTAAATCAGCGAAATGTCTTCCAGTACTAGCTTGGCAACGAATGCCCAAATGCGATCAAGAATACGACTGAGTTCGGATTCAAATGTTCATAGTTGAGTGTGATACTTAATGGATCCAGTACAACATAGGCCGAATAGGTGTCGTTATGGACATTCCCGCCTGTTGACCCTCCGGGGCATGATGGAAACGCTAGACATGTGCGTGTGTGGGAGCAGTGTTTGATCTCCATGTTGGCTTGTGGTCGCACATCAAGGCCACACCGCAGACTCCCCGTTTCTGACTCCCGCACCACTCTCCCCTCTTCAACGCGCACACGAGTGTATGGGTGGGGGGAGAACAAGCAGCTGCTGCCAGCCTCCCTCTCTGCCTCGTCAGCGCACAGAGCCACCTGTCGCGGCCCTCGGGGGCCATCTCCACGAGCACCTCCCGTCCGTCGCGCTGATTGGCCGCGCGGGGAGAGGCGCCGCGCGCCGATTGGCAACGGCCGGGATCTGCTGTGCCGCTGAGTGGGCGGGCGGTTGCCGAGTGCAGGCGCGCGCGATGGCTCCCGCGTTCCGGCCCAGGACGGGCCCCATCGCCCCCCTGTGAAGCTGCGTGCTGCCACGCGCACCATGATGCCGCCCAGCCCGCTGTTCCGTCCCTGGCACGGACTGACGCGTCGCCAACCAAGCCGCGCAGTCCGAGCAGGCGGCCGCCTCATCCGCCGCCGCCGTCGCCAACCAGCCGCCGCCACCGGCCACCGCCGCCGCTGCCGCGGGCCGGCCGCCGCATGGTCCTGAGTACAGAGGCCGGCCGCTGCTGTGGCCGCCGCTGCCCACCGCCTGGGTGCCCTGGGCCGCCGTCGTGGAGGAGGGCCGCCGTCACAAGCCATAGACCGAGGTTCGCCGCAAGCGCGACCGGAAGTTCGCCTGCCCCAAGTGCCCGATGGCGTTCTCGAACCGCGGCAGCCTGGTCGGCCACTTCCGCAAGCACACAGGTGAGTCGACGGAGCGGGGCGGTGTGTCCACCAACGAACTTGTCAGAGGTCAGTGTGGTGAGTCAGGTGCAGCGGCGACTCCCAGAAAGACTTAAGGCAATGATTGCAACTTTGGATTCTGGGGTGGTCTTCGATGTGGCAAATGTGTTGACGCAAATGAGGCAGCATGAGTGAGGACATGTTTCCCACACAAAGCTTGACGGCGTCGCTGTGGCGTGAAATTTATGATCGTGACTAAGAACATTTTCAGCGCCAACGCTCATGAGCAGGAAACAGCAATATTCCCTTTAGACTAGAGCTGGTAGAGCACAGCGCTCAGAGCCGCCTCAACAACCGTACCCTCCTCCGTGTGCCGGCAGGGGAGCGGCCATTCGAGTGTGAGACGTGCCACAAGCGCTTCACCCGCAACGAGGAGCTGACCCGCCACACACGTATCCACACCGGCGACCGGCCGTTCGGCTGCGAGATCTGCTGCGGCAAACGGTTCGGCCGCAAGGACCACCTCAACAAACACCAGCGCACCCACACCGCGCCCTTGTACGCCGCCGTGGCGCCGGGGCTAGCCGGGCTGACTCCGCTGGAGCTGACTGCCTATTTGAGGGGTGGCATGTTTGCCGCACCGTTCTTCTAGCTGGTGGTGGCGCCCGTGCCTCGAGAGCTGTGATAAATGCTCGCCCGTTGGAGGGGCTCGTGCTGTGCGGTACCGTGTGATGGTGTCTTGCTTTTGAGGGGTGGTCGCGTGCGACGCTGGGCTCGGTTCGCCTTGTGAAGTGGGTATTGGTGACGCACTGATATGAACATTACTGTTGATATTGCTCAGGTACTGATATGGCTCAGGCTGTATTGCCGAAACTGTTTTTTACATTGTGTTGCATGGGTCTCATATGAGTTTATATCTGATTTGTAAATGGCTGAATACATCAGGCAGCAACAGGTTCAGACGAGTTTGATGGTATTTGTTATCCACAAAAACGGACGGGCGCGTATCGCGACATCGCAGGCCACGATAACTAGCAGCTTGCTTGTTATATTACCTCCAGGCTTTGGTAGAAATATGGATATACGTAATACTCATCAACAGTGAAATAAACATTCACACGATTGCTCAATGCAAGCTTGTGGTTATAGTTGTGGAACACAAGCTTATCCGTGAATTATCTTATTCCAATAGACATAAGCGGACATGCGCCTGGCTCCTCAGGATTCTTCCGGGGAGCAAGCAGGTTCCTGGTAACGAACTAGGAATACAGTAACCTGTACAATTTACATTTTGGGACCAGAATGCAGAACTGAATCATACAGAGAAGACCAGCAAGGGCCAGAATTCAGCCTGAGACTAAGCTGATATGATGAAACAATCTCACGTATAGCTTTCGATATACTTTTGAGTAGAAAAGACTGCTATAGACAACACAACTTCTGTGTTTATCAAATATGCTCCTCGATACCTCACTGGTTAATTACGTCATCGTACTTACACAACACTGATTGAGAGCAATTGACGGCCATTAGATCTGAAGATCGTGTCCACGAACGCCAGATCTGAGTGGCTCGACCATTATATTTTATTGGCCTTGATCGCCGCATGGGGTACGGAGTGACAGGATTTAAACGCCGTTAGTGTGACGTCATGAATTCCAAGGTGATCTTGAGATACTCTCCTCGAAAAGTCTTCCCATCTTCGCGTGCGTGCAGCTCAGAAACTAGAGGCGATTAGTCTAAAGAAGGACAGGGCTGTGTACTGCACCTGTGTACTGTACTGATAATCTTCAAAATTACTATTTCTGTTCAAACCCCACATAAATGTGAAACACTTCCCTTTAAGGAGGGCGCCCGGCTCCCTGGACCCGTCCCTGGGCTGCGCCCCTGCATAAACTATTTCTGTTCAGATAATCACGACGCCATTTCACAAGAACGATATTAATGAGGTAATAGTGATCGGCTGCGGAAAGCATCCCCTTGGGTCTGACCTAGATCTCCTGACGTCCAAGGGGTTGATCTGAAACGAGTAGGCAGTCCACAACGTACGTACGCACGCCTTGATTGCAGTGGTGCTTTGAAGTAAACGGTAGCCAATGGAGGTAAGCCACAGAATGCTTAAAGTTCACATCGCAGTAACACAGGACCAAAATGGCGGTGACATCATTAAGTTGGACGGTGCAAAATTTATTCGTCATTATCATTCCCTGTCCTTAAAAGGCTGATTTTAATGACGAAATACTTACATTGTTAAGCTAAATGCGCGCTAAACAAAACCCTAACCATGAATGCTGCATGCTTAGTCTCTTAGACCACAACTTTTTTAATTTGAAAAGTTGTGTCTCTAAGGGAAGTCCCTAGCATCGGTCGGGTTGTTGTTGATCCTAGGAGCTGATACACTGGATTGTGGTTGGCCACTCATATTGAGAATCTGGCGCTCATCTTACTAACACTTGATGGATTTCCGGCACCGTTCGCAACAGCACAAAGCCTTAGATGAGACAGAGATTTCCCCTCAGATCGCAGATCTTTCTCTCCATATTGCCAGCTTCCGCTACGTCAGCATCGGCCCTCACTCGGTTCCGGAGCCTCCTCTCACCCCTCTCCATCCCGCATCGCCCCTCCAGGCCCCCCTCCGGGCCCCTCTGGGCCCCCTCTTGCCCCCGCCGGCAACCCACGCTCTCCCGCGCCCCTCAACTCGTGGCAGACAGCACAACGGTCGGCAGCGACGCGCTGAAAGCGATCGGCCGCCGCTGCCGTCATTTGTAAACGGACATCACTTCCACGTGACTTGGGCGCGCGAATACGGCGCGGAGAGCGGCATAGGCTCCTGTTACAGAGATGATTAATTCAGCCAGCGGCCGCCATTGTGCGGGTCGGGAGGGGGGGGGGGGGGGGGGCACTGGCGACGGGCGGGGAGCGGGCGGCCGCGGCGCTGGCTCGAATCGCAGAATGGTTTCATTTGTTCGGTGCAAAATTGATTATCATGATAAGCTCATCAGACAGTTTGACGATGTTAAAAATGCCGGAACGAAACAGGCACGGCTACCAGTATTAGCTGGAGCGTTCACATTTTGACTGTGTGAAAACTGCAAGAGCAAAACCAGCGTACTGGCGCCATTAGGTGCAAGCTGAAATGTTCGCATTCCAGCTGCTGTTAACAACAGCTAGCATTCCTACTGAAGTCCAAATCTACATATTCATGCATACGTCTATCTACAAGCACGGACACTCTCCCCCTTGCCCATACACATACCTAAACATGCATGCACACACGTAAGCACGTTTGCACTCTAAGTCAATACGTCAACAAAAGGCCGTGCATACCCGGAAGTGATACTTCCTTATTTCAGCGGCTCAGATCTGACCAATCATGCAGCTTTTGGAAAAAGAAGGAGATATCTTGACTTAGAGAAATTGCCGTAACTGGTTACCGGTTGGCCTGCGGCCGCTGCTACTGGCCGCAGGCCAACCTGTTACAGACAAACAGCGAGTGCCTGGAGCGACTTGAACCCGCTTCGCCACGTGTGGGTGGATCGGAGCGTTTCAGCTGGTTAAAGCAGGTACTTTAACCAACTGAACTATTGGGAGGAAATATGTATATATATATATATATATATATAATATATATATTATATAATAATATATATACATTATATATATATCATATATATATATATATATGTATATATATATATACACCACATATATATATATATATATATATTATATATATATATATATATATATAATGTATATACATATATATATATATATGTATACATATACATATATTTATATGTATACATATATATATATACATATATATATACATATATATATATATATATATATATATATATATATATATATATATGACAGATAGATGGGTATAACCCACGCTTAGGCCACGGTTCTGCATAATTTCTCTCGCACAGAGAGCTAAGAATCTCAAAGTACATAGCGCACACAATTCTAGGGAACATGTTGCAAAGTGCTTTCCACTTGCCCCGTCAATGGATATTTCGCCCGCCGAGGTCTGGGGCAACCCATTTCAAGTTAAATCTAACATGAGACGAGTGCTGAATTGGTAGCATAGTCGCAGAGGACATCACTGTAAGCTTGGATTGTACCTGATCATGATTTTGCACGCATCAGATCAGATGCACCATGACATTGCAGCTCACGAAACGCTGAGGGCGTGCGTACCTTTGCTACGATTTTCGCCACCACGCAAGACTTAAAGTGCTAATGGAGGCATACGAACCTGTGGCTGCGATCGTTCCTCAGAACATGGGCCCTCTGACCATTGTGAGAATCGTCAAAGAAGTATGTTCAAAGTATGCCTAATTTTACTTTCCTCGTCATCCCATGTATCATACCAGAATGCGTCAGGAATGCCCAAGTAAAATCAAGTAGGATCTGCTAAGGCAGGCTTTATAAAGGCTTTTATAAGGCTTTATAGCTTCTGTTCTCCTGAGGGGGTCAAGATGGCGCCTGTCGGGTCCCCTCGAGGCGGGCTGCGCCCTTACGAAAACCCATGTGCACGCTTAAATCAGATATAAACGGCGCCGCTGCACGCGGGCTCACGATGTCACGACCCTCCGCGTCAGACGGGCGCCGCTCTCTGCCGCGACGCTCCCGCGACGCCCTCTCCGCGGCGGGACTCGGCTCCCCCGGGCCCTGGGGGCGGGGCCAGCGTCGGTGGCGCGGCGGGGAGCGAGAACTACTGATCATATCCTGCCTCCGAGCCTTTCATGTGATAATCCGCGCCTAGGGTTCGCCTCCTGATGGCCATCATTCGGCTCCAATGAGCCTATTTCAGTGCCCCCGGCTGCGAAAATGAAACCGATCTGACTGGTTGCCGCTTTATGCGATTAGTTATGCGTCGGCGTAACAGCCTATCATATTGAGTGGCTCTTAAACTAAATGGAAACTGAGCTGATTTTGAACGATAAAGGGCTTTTAGACGGGGAAGCGATCCCATTGCAGGCTAATTGGGCGCACATGGCTGGGTCGATTTTGGTTGCGGTGATTCCAGATGACGAAGAAAGAGTATCAAATTACCTTCATGCGGCCATCCATTTTAGTCGCTTTACATTTGTTACCCACTATTTTGCTTTTCTTACTGTCTCATCTAGTGACAATGGCTGCATCCGTTTCAAAATGGCTGTACAAAATTATGTTCAACTTGCCAAAACGCGGCCTTCAAACCAGTTTCTTGTCCGAGGTTCGGGCGACTCCTATTTCACGGAGGTCTCTGACTCGTAAATGCCCTGGGTATGGTACTGATTGTAAAGCCTTTGTGATGTAGCAGAAGTTCCCTGTGTGGTTTTGGAGCCCTTAAGGACTATTGTCAAACCTTTCGCCGACGCGAAAAGCTCCTTTCAAAATTGTAGGCTCCATCCTGCAGGCTGGATTCCTCTGCAGCTCACGAAATCAAACCAATGGCCTTTAGGCCAGAAGCAGAAGTTACGGTGCCTGTCCCAGTTTAGGCGTCCTGGCAATCCAAAGCACATTTAATGTGCCTGTCAAAAGCTCAGTACGGTCACTGTGCCATAGTGAACGGCAGTGTGGGATTCACAAACTGGACATAATTACTTGTAATTCAGGGTCATCGTCGTTCAACGCTCGCAAACCGCTTGCTGCACTTATCAACTACTGCACTTTCTTGTTCCCATTACCATCCTTTCCTACGCACGAGAAAAAGGCGCAATTCCCTTGTCGCCTCTCCCCTCTTAAATACAAGAGAGAAGCCTGGGTTTCGATATGAGGATCCGAAGGCCCCGAAAGGCCGACTGCAGGTTGCATTTAGGGGCCCCAGCCCATAGGGCCGGGCACTCCAATGCCAGCCAGAGAGAGAGAGAGAGAGAGAGAGAGAGAGAGAGAGAGAGAGAGAGAGAGAGAGAGAGAGAAGAGAGAGAGAGAGAGAGATAGAGAG